AATACCTGTCAGGCCCTTATTCAAATTTCGTTCAGGCTAAGTAAATGTATTTGACCTAAAATAACCATTTATTGACATTTTTTATTTAAAATATAAAATACTGTAATTTGTGGTCTCTTACGCCATATTGTTCAACCAAAAAATATCTTTTTGAGTAGTAACTACTAAAAAAAAACCTGCACTCTATTCTACTAGCCCAATTATTCATGACATTTATCACATTTGCCATTACGAGTTGGATATTTCCAAAATTTAGTGGTGATTAGGATGATAAGTGCAAATGCAAAAAAATCTGGCAAGCTTTGTAATTCTAAAACAGTCTAATACATCTAAAGAAGTAAGCATACATGTAAATGCAAATAAATGATTTTTCCCCCCATAGAATATGGGTTTGGTTTGTTTCCACAAAATAATCCGAATTTATTACCTTCCCCATTACGAGTTGGGGATTTTATAAACTAACCGGTAAATTTGCTAAATATGAAATAATTTATCATATTTACCAAATTCAGTGGTGATTATGTATAATCATCGGTAATTTTATATAATCAGCGATTTATCATTTTTACTGTAACATATATATATATATAAAGTAAAAAAAATAATATGTATCTTCATCATTAGAAAATACCATACTGTTAATAAAGCTTTAAAAACATATATACTTTTAAGGCAGGTAGGTTAACAACGGCGATTGTTAGCCGCCAGTTGTGACGTCACGATCTCACAGTTGGGTATCTGTTTAAGAAGGTTTTGGCCGAGAGCGTGTCACCCACATGTCCGTTATGAACTTACTTTAGGGTAAAAATAAAAGATTGATAGTACATGATGCTTTGAAACAAATAAAGTAAAGTTAAACAAGATCTGATATATTTTTTAAAAAATTTTATGAGCATTTTCAGGCAGTGTTTTTTAAAATTTTTATAACATTGCAAGACGATCATTTATTTGATTATATGATCATTAATTATTAACATTACAAGATGCTTATAAGATGTTTATTTATTTTAATAATTCATAAAATTCAGAGCATAAACTTTACTGAGTGATAAAAAAAGATAAAATAAAATCTGGAAATCTGGAAGCACTCAGATTTTATATTACGGGACTTTTTTTTTACGTTCTGTGTGTTACCTTTATTAAATGAATATAATGTTCTTCGAATGTAAACCACAAAAAAATTCAATTCAACAGCAATATCATAAAATATTTGAAAACAGCATATCTTTAGAATTTCCGAGCTGGAGATAAAAATGTTATTTTCCGTACAGTGTTGCCATTGCTCGCGTTGAACTAGCTGAGTTTGTTAATCAAAAATTCGTTAAAGTTTTACAAAATATGAAATTGATTAAAGCAAATTGAAAATTCGGCCGTCTTGGTGCCCATGTTCGGATGGAGGATTACGTTAATCAAAATTTGATGGCTCTAGATACCATCGTTCCTTCACAGTGCAAGAAACATGCATGCATTCATGCAGATTCTTCATTATTGGTGCCCATGTTCGGGTGGAGGATTACGTTAATCAAAATTTGATGGCTCTAGATACCATCGTTCCTTCACAGTGCAAGAAACATTCATGCATTCATGCAGATTCTTCATTATTTAATTCCTTTAAATATAATACAGGGCGATAATATTTCGTGGCAACAATTTGCAAAGTGAAACGGACATTTATAGTGAAACGGCGCAAACTGCAGTTTCAGTTTCGAAACTAATAGCCTTTCTGGGTTACCGCCCTTTTGTACTAATAAATTAAATACACAATAAGTAAAAAAGTATCTTATGCAGAACTAGAAATAAATTAAAAAAAATAATCACTATAAAATACTAGCATAATTAATTATTACAGTTAAATACAATTTTAACATTATAATAAGTGTATAAATACTATTAACGTGTTAAAATGCTTTACCACTATGATGTACTATGAAATATAATTGAAATAAAACTCCTATATAAAAATTATGCTGTAATATTCACCTATAATTTTAAAAAAGCAGCACAATTTAGAATTATAACAAAAACTTTCAAAAATTCATTTTTAGGTATTTTAGTATTTTTTACTTATTTGCACCAATGAAAAGCATAAAAATTGTAAGAGAAAGTTACAGTTTTGATACAATTTTTATGCAAGTTACAATTTTATGCTAATAGAAAATTTCAAACAAACAAAGCATAAAAATTGTAACTTTCTCTTACAATTTTTATGCTTTGTTTGTTTGAAATTTTCTATTAGTTCAGATTTAAAATATTATTTTCTAAAAGAAGTAATTACAAATTTCCTTACAGCATACGAAAACCTTAAAAAAATCCAGGCCTGAAAGTATGCAACAAGAAGTAAGCATACATGTAAATGCAAATAAAAATCATATGTTAGCTTCATAATTATTTGGAGCGTTAATTATGCTCGATAAATATGCTAAATTTTTAAAAATGAATATCAGTTTAAAACATAAAAATATCTGAAAATTCTAATTTGTGAAATGTGCTATCACCAACTTTTTCTTGACAATTATACAGGCTGCAATAGCCAACCACTGTTAAGTTTTTGCAAGTTGTCCCTACTCCTCCGGATGTGGTCAAGCGAACAGCCGGCAATGCTTCAGGAAGAGGGAGAAAACCCGTTTGGATTGGTCTGTTTCTTATAAGGTCCATGCTAGTTAGCCGCCAGTGCTCAGGTCTTATCCTTTGAGATGGTGTTGGTCAAGCAGGTAAAACATCTCGCTGTTGTTTTACATGATGCTGTTTCACATGGAAGCACAACGTTAAACAAGTAATTTCTGATTTCCTGAAGTGCAAAGTTTGGCTATACCTCTAATACGCCAGAACTCCATGTTTATCTTAGATAATAAGTCACTTATCTATAAGATCATGTTGCTACCAGTTATCATATACGCTTGTCCTCTCTTCGGATCTGTATGCACTTCTAATGTGAACCTCAAAGAATCCAAAATATTACTCAACGACAACTATCAAGATCACGCTAGTTTATTAGGAACAACACGATACTCGAGGAAACGCGTATTAAGTCCATTTACATATTTATGGGAAAATTGCCAAACAAATTACAGAAATATTTTAAAAATCAAGAGTAATTCAGTTTCACATTTAGATTAGGAAACTATAAATGAAATCAAGATACGGAACCGTCGAGACTTTGGCGATTCCGGATTTCGTAAATATTCGAATTTTAGATCATCACTTTAAATCCAGTAAGATGACATGTAGACATGCCAACATTGCAGCTTTGCTTATTGTTTATGTCAGAGAGGAAGAATGCTATCCCTCCAACAGAACCAGCGCCAGCACAGGTGCGGCCGTAACGGGCGTCAAAAATTTTCGAATTTAACGGAGTACCGAGCAGCAAAAATTAGGGATTGACAAACTTTAAGCATTTAGGAGACTTTAGGAGAGACACTGGACAATGGAATTCGGGCGCGGCAAAATTTTTGGAGTTAAGCGAGGTTAAGGGCAGCAGAATTTAGAACCCGCAAATTACATGGGGCGGCAAACGCGTAACTCCGGCCCAGCCCCCCAAAACCACTCAAGGGGCGAAGGCGTGATTCTGACCAACATCAATACAACGCCAGTCAGTGCATTGCTATTAATTACGGTGCGGCGACTCCCTAGCCGGCAGGTGTTTGAAAGTGACATGTAGGTGTAGGAATCTTAGAAGAAAAATCACATTTACGGCACAGATCTTCTTTGCGTTAAGTATTATATTCTCTATTCTCAGACTTTGTAAGGGAGGAAGACATTTCTTTGTTATTTTACAAATTTATTTATTGCTTAGTTGTCCGAAGGTCCGCATGTAAGACAATTTCCGATACTGGATGTCAGAATTTTGGACTTTGTATAGTATTCATTAAAACTGAGGTAAAAAGTATAACAGACTATATTTTTATGTAAATTCTACTAATGCATTTGCTAATTTCTTTATATCAATTAAACAAATAAAGCATTCAGGATCTCAGATTAATCGGTTGCCTTCGATATGCTTTTAAATCTCATTTAAAGTAGTTAACATACACAGACTAATTTTTTTTTAAATTGTCGAAATGATATTTTCTTATTTTGAAAAATGTTTTCAGGGAAACTGGTAAAAGTAAACAGGTGCATAACTTTCGTAAAAAATCTGATTTAACTGAAGAAGAAATTTTTACAATGTGTGTGAAAAATATGCCGCAAACATGTTTCATTTATGATATCATGTTATAATTCGAGTAATTAGTACAGATTTAATCTTTATCACATATGCTTGGATGAAATCTTCCAATGATAAATTTAGTTTCATAAACTTCATAACTAACAGAAGTCTTAATTACATATTCGATGCAATAATGATATGTATACGTGTTCCACATGCCTTCCACTACTCGGATGGCCTTTTAAACTCTCCATTTCAGGCAGGTGTCTCAGCTTTGTTGAATAAGCATTTTTAAAGTTTGATTTCTTTCCCAAGGCTACGAATACATACAAAGAGGAAACAGTATGTCAAATAATTTTGAAATTCTAAACTTTTGATCAAATGCATTACGAATTTTGTACTCCTTTATCTCAAACTAAGTAAAGAATACGCCGAAATTATGTTTTAGTTTTCTTGTTTCATCAATAGATGGCGCCAGTAGATTAACTTCTGCCATTGTTAACCTTATCTTTTCTTGTTCATTTGCACTTAGGCAGCTGAGAAAGCTGGTTCTGTAGTTAAACTATGGAAATTAGTCCTGCAAAATTTACAAGTATTACACTGATTCTTGTTGTTTGACTTGTCCAATAAGTAAAGAACCTCAATGACGAAATCAGATTCATTTTCAGTAAACTTTTTAGACTAGCTACATATGATAAGACTGTAAATAATTTAAAGACAGGTAATTAAATTACTTGATGTAACCATGCTCAGTTCCAATAATTGGTAACAGAATAGAATAAAGTGAAAATAAAAAATATAAAAGTGAAATAGTCAGTTACATAACTGCCATTACAATGAGAATGAACAAAGGTTTTGAATTTCTTACTATTTATTTATTTCCTTGACTGCACAGAAATATAACAAGATTGGGCCTAAGAAAAATACACAAAGACAAATACATAAATACACACTTTTTTTCAAAGAAATTCTTTAAACAAAAGTTCAAGTAGCCACATATTATTTTCATTAGCAACAAAAACTATACATCTAATACTCTAAGGCAGGAAGAGTATTTTAGTAATTTCACATAATTTTCAACATTGCTGTAAAAATAAAAAATTTTCAACAATAAATATTTATTAAATTTTTCATTTTAAATAATTTTAGGGAAATCTGTATATTACAACACTTCTTAAATGCAGGCAGTACAGATTTAAAAATTTTATGTACAATGCATAATTTACTTACATTCATAATTTAAGTCTTTAATTTGCTGTGTTTTAGAAACAAATATTGCACTATGTTTCTGTTCATATTTTATAAACTGTAACTTGGGATATGGCACATAAATTGCTATTCATATATTTCTGAAATTATACTTCTTAAAAGGATGAGAAATAATTTCTTAGATAATGAAGAAACTAAAAATGTTCATTTACAATGCATTCCATATTAATTTTTTATATTGCTTTAATGATACAATTTGAATGAAAAAGATAAATTAGCATTTAAATGACTTTTATAAAAAAATATTTCTTATATTTTGTACTGTTTTTTCAAAAGTGAAAAAATATTGACCCTTATAAAAGTTATCGATTTTTGATATGTCATTTGAAATAGAATTGTACTAAAGACAGTCAGATATGCATTTTTAATGATTCTGAGAAAGATATTCCTAGAATTTTTATAAAATTACTAATCTTATTCTATATGCTAAAGATTATATAATGTAATTCTGAAAGATGTACACATGGAAGAGCAGCATAATAAATTTTAAACACATATAAGGACATTCATTGATTTAATGAATTAATTAAGCTTGTTTTCCATTTTAGCCAAACATCTGGTTTATTCTTAAATAAATCTCTTCAAATTATTTTTTAAAGTAACTTAATGTAAACATTCGAGGAAACTGTTTAATAATATCTGTTAGTAAAGTGTATGTGTTTGACTAATATATATTAAAGAAAACGACAATAAAAAATTACATTTCTTATGCTTCATTAATTATATTGCATTGCAACTTAAAAGCTATGAAATGCATTTATTAACAAATAAAATTCAGTGAAATGGGGAAGGAAATATAATAGTTTCAAAATCAAAATCATATTCAGAAAGTTACATTAAGTCCTAAAAATCTACCACACATGTAGTTAAAATTCTTTAAGCAAAATAATATTTTTCAGAGTTCTTTAAGGCATGCTGTATTTAACAACGTTCAAGCTATATGTTCCTATAAATGAATGTTAGAAAGGGAAAAAATAAGAGCTGGCTTCTTCTTAAAAAATTTCAAGTGAAAATCATAAAATGGTGGTTTTTAAAATTTTAGAGTTGAATTCTTATATAAAATATATTATATATTTCAAGAAAGCATGAAAAATTCAGGGTTTTCAGTTGCTTGACAATTTAGCAACTTGATACATCTTATATGCTCTGGTTTAAAATAAAAGAAAAATAGACACAAATTATAACCCTCTTTAAAAAAAAATGCTTATTAAACTGGATGCATTTCTATGCAATAATATTTTAGAAAAGGTATGACTATCTAAATTTCATTTTATATGAAAACAAAAAGAAATTCTAATAAAATATTGTTTTAGAAATATCTTTTATCTGAACTAAAAAGAATGATAGATTCCTACAAGTTCTGCAGTTTTTTATATGGCTCTGCTATTAGCACTTTGTAAATAAAATTACATCTTCTTATTAGAAAATAAAGGAATTTATACGCATACACCTCATTGTAATAATTAAAAAGAGACAAAAATGAAACAAGAAATTATATATTACAAAATCAATGTGTGATGAGATTCATATGCGACAAACACATAAAAACAGAAGTTTTGAAAGTATTTATGCACTATATATACGTAGGTGTATACATCCACATATATATATTTCAACTGTTGGTTCCATTTAATATAGATATTTTCATAGACTTATGAGTATATAAGCCGTATATAGTTCTCTTATGTACTACACATTGATCCAGCAATATATAACTTCATGTTTTTCATTTTGAATTGTACCAATAATTTTACTTTACTTCAGCTAATAGCACATTTATTGATATCTTATAATTATTTATTGATAAAAAGCATTTATTTAGTTTCTACATAGCATATTATCATTTTTGAAACTTCACACTTGCCTTTTTATTTATTTCTCAGACCACTTCTTAACTATTGCTTTTTTCACAGACTTTTATAACAATTTTGAAGTTCCAGCAGTCGTCCACATGCTTAAAATCTGCATTTTATACCACAAGTTTTATACATTTTACGAAAGTTATGTTTCAGAACTTGGTAATAAACGCCTCTGATCTCTGGTTTTACTACTTATGTTGTGTTTTCTTTTCTTTGTAATTTATTACATACAATTTGATTTTTAAAACTTATTAGGTACAACTTAAAATAATTTTCGGTTTGCAAGCCATTGTTTTTATCATTGTATTAATCCAATTACTTATTTTTTCTCTAGTTTAGGTATGGTAATAATGGTAGTATTTATTTTAGCATCAAATTACATGGTTACTTGGCGCATTTTTAGTACTTGTAATTTAATGCTCTAAGCCTATCTCGGACCATTCAGTGCAAAAATCGAAGATTGATTTCACTCTTATTAAATTAATTTTTTTTAGTATTTTGAAATAGTATTTTATTAAACTTTTGATATTTTTAGAAGAATATTTCATTCTCATCTAAAATATTTAAAACATTTATTTCGAAAGGAATAGACCTTGTTTTACAATGCTAAAAAATGCTCCAAATCTATAAAATTTTTTCCATCTTTTGAATTTATATGCAGGCGTTTTTCGATTTTTTCATCACTATATCACATGTAGGAAAAATTATTTCACAAACAAATTAAAACACTGTGATTCTAATATTTTTCAGTTATGATCAAGGAAATTTATCATTTGAAAATTTTCTATACTTCCCAATGTATTGTTTAACATACCATAAGCTGCATGTCATTGACTAAATATGTTTAATATATTTATAGAGTAATCATTAGTTTATTTCTAATGGCTTAAAACAAAACCAGTATTGTTTCCACCAAAGTTTGTATATATATAATACATCTGAACCAATCGAAAAATCTCTATGTATATATTAACTACTTGTGCAAAAGACATAGGCACTGATTTATCAGATATCTCCTTTCATGTATCAAGGCTTAGTGCATGAATATCTAACACTGTTGGGCCAGTGAGCAGGCAAGGAAGGCAAAGTGTTTCAGATTCACAGTAGTCAACAGTCATGATTGTCACATCTATAGCAAGAAACTTGGACAGTCGTCAAATCTGGATTCGCTCTCAGGATAAAATAAAAGTATACATTCGACCCCTAAATGTCTTTCCTGTCTGTAGCCTAAAACCTTTTCTTAGAACAACTATACGTATTAAATTCTAGTTTTTCTATGCTATAACTAGCAATTATTAATTCTATGAGGTTATGAAATATAAATATGTCTAAATAAGTGATGCTTTACTTCATAGGCTAAGAAGCTGGCTCCTCCATGTATTTTTTAGTATTTGAGAATAATGCCTCTAATACAAAAACACAATATTATTCAACTGCTTTCTTTAAAGAAACTAGATATATAAACCTCTACTGGCCACAAAACAAGCAACATTCCACAAAAGGAAATTACAATAGGTTTTCACAAAATTCTCAATAGCAAGCATATTAGGGGAATGATTCAATGATTAAATACTACCAGAGCACTTCACGTTTTAAATAGCACATATATCATACGAAAAATTTTGACTAATACAAGCAGCCTTGGTACACAAAATATGGAGTGCTGTCAGAAAAGTGAAAGCAATCTTCATTGAGATCTCTCTCTCCACAGTAACACTAGACCAGATCACTGTTAGGCACTACATCATTACGACGAAAATGCTAAAAAATGCTTAAGTACTAGAAACAAAAGCTTTTGACATGTTTCCACACTAGCTTCTACTATTACAAATACTTTTCATGATAAATTTGTTTTATACATACTCACCAAAGGCAACCACAGGGGAATGTCGCTAATGAAAATAGATTCTCTCCATATATCTGAGTCAAGTCTAGTAAAACAATCAGATGTCATTGCAAACTAACAACATATAAAACATTTGGGTTGCCAACAACAATCATTAAGATCACTTCACATTGTCAATTTTATGATATGAATGTTATTCTACATTATGTTGATGGCAATATCACTATGAAACAGTTAACAATGAATCTGCTGTGCACAAGATCGTAATTACAAAGAATAGGCCAGATAGAATTCTTAGTTCCATTTCTTCCACACTTTTCCATGATATGATCTGGAGAATAGAGGAACTATTTGCTGAACCAGGATATCATATCTTTAGTCCAGGAATCTCACATCTCTATCATAAACAATGTAGCTTTAAAGAAGCATTCATGGGTAAAATATCTATACCACTTCAGTATTTGATGTTATTTTGATTTGATGATGGATCTCTTCGTGACCAAAAAATGTTTTATAACTAAATGTATATATTTCTTCATTTACATTTACTATCAATGCAAACACTTAATGCACCAGAGTCTTTTTCTCTTAAAAATATTTATAATATATAAGTTTATGAAGATGATGCTCATGCTTGCACCAAATGCCTTCGCAGTTCATCACCAAAATACACAGAATGATTATTCACATTTATTTGCGTCCTGTACTACGTCGCCCATCCATCTGCAGTGAGTCGTGGCCTCTTGCTGATGTGAGGATCATAGTCCATATTAGGATCTGGTGAAGAAGATGTTGAAGGAGCAAGTGAATGGCCTGGTGACAAATGACCTTGAACTGAAGGTGGCCGGTGAAGACTAAGAGTTGAATTATCACGAGGAGGAGATATTGGTTCACTTTTGATTTTGATTGGAAGAGGAGATGATGATGGGGGCGGTGTTGCACTACTAACTGAAAGATGAGGTAAGCTGCTAATAGTAGAGCTAGGGCTGTAAAGGATAAAGAAAAAGTAACTGTTGTTAAAACATTTGACTAAATTTCATACAATACAATTAACTATTTCAACATCTATAACATTAATTATTATAATTCGACCGCCTCGTCCACGACCATGAGCGTAAACACGCATGCGCCACTTGGACTGAATTATTCTCAAAATAGCGTGGAAGGATGAGGACTTTCTTTCCCTCGAACATATAAATTCTCTTTTTGAGGTCTTCACGTGATCTTTCACGTCGCCCCTTTTGGACGAGTCTATGTGCTTTGACTGAATGCCAGCCAAGGTTGCGTTTGAGACGGTCGAACTATGGCATAGTATTTCTGAAATCTGAAAATCGAAAATATTAATTTGGAATAACTTTAAAAAATGCCCTTCCAGTTCTTCAATAAAATAAACAGAGAATTTTTTTTCCATTTTCTTATCTTCATTACCTCTATTGCCCTCTCCCCGCAAAAAACATTTCTGCTAAAGTTTAGTAATGAGTTGCTCTAGTTTTTTACATCAAACAGAAATCTGAATTCATTCCTTTATGAAAAGTATGTGCACATTCCTATTGACAAATAATTGACTCTCAAAAATATTCCAAAGTCAATAACGATTCATTAAGACTCCAAGTTGTTTCATAAAACACATTTATTACACGTAAGCACATCGAAACTCAATATGTGCATCTTTAAATATCACAAAAAAGATGCCTTCTCTTCTTATAACTCAAAAACATAGAATAAATTACTCTTTAAATTAAAAAGAATGGAACAGACTTAGCAATATTTGTCTGTTGCCAGAACCTAACTACTAAAACTCGCACAATTACAAACACGTAAAAAATGAAATTCAGCACGCATTATTCAAAGATAAAAATAAAATATAAACAAAATAATAACTTACGTTTGTAACTATTTGAAAGATACAAATTTTTACACCTATCAATTTCAGATTTATTTATTTAAAATTTTTAATTTTATAAAATAGGGGCTTGTTTGGGCAAAACTACTTAGTATACAGAATGATTAATATTGTTAGTAAAAGGCATGATAAATAAGAAATATTAAACTATCAAATTTTTCTGCAGTGCTTTCGAAAAGACGAAGGTGAATGGAGGGGGGAAAATCATACGAGTCTTAATAATGAATTATAATTTTAATAATGAATTTATTTTAATGTGCTTCATCTTGTAAAGATCAGAGAGAACCAGATTGAATCACTTTACACACAATGCGAACTTTGTGTTGCTTTTAATTCTGTTTTAAGAGTTTTTTACTTCGTTCTCCAGTATAATTTAATCGCATTTTTTCCCCGTTTTTAGTTAAAAATAAAAAATAATGCGTGTTTGCATTCATCCCATTTTTAATAATTTTTAAGCTCTTAAAAATAAGTAACTGTAATAAAAATAGATTTTGTTAAACTCGAATTCACATGAAATAGCATGCAAACACAAAGCGCAAAGTCTCAGGCTACATTTTGATATTATTTAGTCATTTGCTGCAACAGGAAAAGAGAAATTTATTCCAGTTTCTTTTAAAAATACAATGCTGTATGATTTCATTACCGATTAAATTTTAAAAAAACCGTACAGATAAGAATGTTTGAATATACTTTTATGAATACTGTAGGTATTCACTTGACATATCTTTCTTTTGGAAAAATGTTTCGATGTACCTAATTTAAAATAAGAAGTCTCATATAATTGCCGGTTTCAAATTCGAATTAGCAATGAACATTTCTGAACTAATTTGCTACATCTTTAAGCTATGAATGAGCGTTTTACAATGATTCTGCACTTCATCTTCAAGTTAGTCGGCTGGTTATTAACTGATTACAGTAAAGCACACGAAGGCGATCTTCCTAAGAAAATTTATACCTTTATGAAAGGGATAAGGAAAACTGACTCGTATTCATTTTATGCAAGGGAGAAATCATGAAAGCCAAACCCTTCAAGAAATTTGAACCTGGATCTATCTATCGATATTCAGCAGTCTTATCTTCTGGACCAGTGGCAGGCTTTACATCTTCCTACCGATCTGTCTGTAACGAGCGCATATGTCAGTTTTCCGTAGGCGGGGTGGCCAACAGATTCGGCAAAGCAAGCGAGGACTATGTACTTTCAAAGGAATGCCTTTGTGAAGGACTTTCAAGGGATAAACTATACGATAGATGTGGTGAAAACCCTATGTAGTAAGACTGCCCACCAAAAAACAACTTCTTATGAATTTAAACTTCATTTAGCGGCCTTGTGCAACGAACATAATGAGCCACCTCTTCTCAAGCTTCTAAAAAAAAAGGGCTAACTGTCAAGATAAATTAACCGGAGGCACATTACAATACATTAACACAAAAATTTGTCTTTTTGGACTCATTATGAGGTTAAAATTCTGCAATTTGCTTAAAATTCTCTGAATTAACAGGAGAAATATGAAAACTATAATAATTAAAACTCTTGTCATAAACTTAAAAATCTATGTTATCTTATATAAAATAACTTCACACCTAAGAATAAGAAATAAAATGAAGTATTTTCTTGGCATTTTTAATTTGCATGGTTAGGGAATATCTTTAGCAATTAACTTCATGTAAATTTTATATAAAATGATTAAAACAAAACACAGTAAATTTACATAATATTTAGAAACATTCACCTTGAATGTGAGAGCCCTTGAACTCCAGATAAAGGGCCTTGAGACCAATTTTGCAATAAACTGGGAGAGTTGAACCCTGATAATCCCAAATCTGAACCAAGCTGAAAGTCATCTGGAAAATAACAACGACCTAATTCAGTTATTCTTATTCTTCACTTAACTGCTATGGAATGGGTTTGTTAATTTAAAAGGAGTAAATTACTGCAATGAAATTTTTAAAAACATCAAATTATAAATCTATTGCATTAACATTGTTTAGAGCCACAAAAACTATACATTGGAGAACAACTGAAATAAAAGATACTCAGTTGTAAGAATTAGAAGAAATAATTCAGTTTTTAACTTAACATGTGAAACAGGTTTATTTTTATTCACTATAAGAGACTTGGTTTAAAAGATTTTACACATACGCAGAGGTGATACTCGATATATTCAATAAGGTAAAGTAGTATTGTACATATTTAATAGCAATATTACATCGTATACATTAAAAATAAGATACGTATCGGGTATTAGAAAAACACTAAACATCTGATGTAACAATTACCCCATTATACTTTATTTTTTGGCAAGGCTGAATGCGGAATTTTTTCCTTTACTAATTTATCATTTGCCAGACGATATTTTTTATCTCAATCAAAATTAATATGTGCAAAAGCAACTATTTTTTTCATGCATTCTCCCATTACAATAACTGCTGTGAAATGCTTCTTTGTAAATGTTCTTCAGTGAAGTTTTCCATTGTACTCAATTTTCTTTCAAATTCAAAGAAATTAAAGCACTTTTAGTTCTCAAACTATTATCAGAAACCATTTTATGCCCTAAATCCCTGTCACCAACAAAATCTTGAAATTCGTTTACTGAAACGACGCATTTTATGATTTGATATAATTATTGTGTTTCGCTCCATTCATCGTTCTTGGCAACTATCATCTGGCCTATTTTCAGCTTTTAATAATTTGAAACAATCTGAAAGATCATCACGTATTTCATTTTTACCGTCGCAAAAACAAACACTCTCATAAACAATCACAAACTTTCTCTCTCAAAAATACAAAGTATATTTTATTTCTGTTAACATTACACACAGTATTTTCGGTTTTAATATTATTTTCTGTTTCTTTCTAGAGTTTTCCGTTAACTGATTTCAAATATTCAATTAGATTTTTCATTCATATTAATAATCTGTAAGCCTAATTAATGCAATATTCCTTTTTTGAAACGTTGTCGGAAGGACATGAATTTCTTTCAAGACATCGTTTATTAAACATATTCTTAAAATCTCTTGAAACAGCCGAGTAATAGGGAAAACAACTAAAAAATGAAAACCATGGAAGAATTAATGATAATAAATTTAAGGAAAATAAGCAAATGAATTTAAGAAAGATATATATATATATGTTCTATCGATATTATCTGTTCTTATTTACTTAATGTTTACTCCTCTGCTAACTGGAAGTAATACATTTTTATTCTCTTAATTGCGTCATTTTACTTCTCGTAATTATTAATTTTTATTCAAAGTTTAATTCTTCAATCCAAGTCGCTTGATCTTTTTTTTTTTTTTTTTTTTTTTTTTTTTTTTTTTTTTTTTTTTTTTTTTTCAAGTTAGTGGTTCCGTAACTTTTTATTTTAATTTCATTATTTTCCCTTTCTGTCCTAAAAATAGTAACTACTTGTAATAAATCTCTCTACGCTACGTCATTCCAAAATTAATTTAAATTAATTCGTATGATTCTTGCATAACTCTAATGACGCGCATACTTTCATAGCGCTTCAGGCAATTATAATTTTAAATTTGATGACCGAAATTTGAAATTAAGTACTAAGGATAAAGCTGAATTCTGCACCAAACTTTCACCTTGGACACGTCGCATTCTCTCTTTCACTTCTGTGCAGTCAATCTGCTTGCTACTATTTCCACCATCGAAATGCACTGTTATAAAATGCAGAAAGCTCACCAGGAATGGGCATGCAGACTGCCCCCATTACGCTATACAATTCAAATTAAAAGTATAGTCTCAAGAATAATAAAATATGTATATATATATATATGTTAAACTGGTCAGAACGGCTGCAGCTACTTCAAGATGCATACCGAAGTAGCTGCAGTAGCTCCATGTAGATGCTAACATCTAAATTACATCTTATGGATATATAGACAGAGTGTTTCAAAATGAATGGAACAAAATTTTAGGCGTACTAAAACCGAAGGAACTTTTCTTCACAAAAATCTTCCAATATTAAGCATTTAGGCTCTCGAAGACACCTTCCAGTTCCCTACACACGTCATCATTTGCAACGCATAGAATCAAGAAATGATGTGCTCTAAATAAAAAGGAAAACGGGTGATCTCTGTCGTTGTCCTCATGTATATACAGATCATGACAAATTGAGAAAGAGAATAACAGCATTTTAGCTGAACACGGCAATTTAGCCGCGAATATTGTGTGGAGCATTAATATTTCTGAAAAAAAAATAGTTTTGATATTCGAAATATCAACAACTTTCAATCTTTCCCATAGCTACTCCGTGAAGAACCCAGTCTGCAGAAAATTCTTATCTCTGCGTGGTGCAAGACGTACTGCACTATGAATTTTTCCTGCACGGCTAAATAATCACAAGTAACGTGTACTACCATCACCACAAATTATGCAATAGACATTTTGGTCTCATACTCCTGCAAGGTGGCATGAGGCCACATGTGTCTATTGCAATCACGAAAAATAGAAGTTTAAAATACGAAGATTCCCCTCACTGTATTCATTCATTAGACTTATTTGCTTTAGACCAGGAGTTCTCAACCAGAGGGTAATTCCTCTCTAGGGAAAAATTTCATAGTTTCAGGGGGGAATGCGGTCAGCCTTCTATTTACCTATTAAGCCTTTCGTTTTAATATATGATTATAAAAAACTACGTTTTTTCAAGCTTTGGCATTTATCAACACTTTCTATACTTTTTCTCGTTTTATTTATACAACACATTAAAAAACAATCTAAATTTAAATAAATGTACATATATTTTTCGAGTATTGGAAAGAAGAGGGGGTAGCAATGGTAAAACGGGTGTATAAGACAAAAAAGGTTCAGAACCACTGCATTAGACTTTTGCATTTTCCGTCATTTGGGCCGCTTCTTGAAAGGTAGACAGTTCATTTACCAGAATTCTGTCATTCATGTTGTTGGCAATTTCTTTGACCATTTCTTTCTTCCAACGTAGCACTTCTGCGCTGCAAATACATTGGGTATCTGCTACCGAGGGCAGATAGTTTTCTAAATAAAATGTATTTCTTAGCATATAACTGCTGTTTGTTTATCTGCGTTATGAATGGCCAATAACGCAATAAAAGTTTTAATAAATTATTTTCATAAATAGAAGTTATATACTTAGTCGAAATCAAAATCTAATGAAGGCATAAGACTATTTGGACTCTACCTAATTCTGTTTTCTAAATACATGGCAAAAAAAAAAAATATTTAGTCATAAACAAAAACGTGAACAATAAATTTAAGAACTGAAAATGCTAAATACATAAAATGGCAACCTAGGAGTATCAAAAATGCAGGTTAATCTCTTTTATTAGGAGCTTCAAACAGAGCTTGTGAAAGGAAAAGTGTTTTGAGGCTTCAAACAACGTTGATTACATACACTTTTCTTCTACAGGATCGTATAAAAATTTGCGTTTCAGTAAATTCGTATATTTACTGAAAAAGTATCATGTGACTTAAACGGTTTTGTGATAAAGATGAGAATTATTACGAGATTATTATTATTTCGCGGGATTATTACAAGATGCCTTTTTGTGTATGGATTATTGTTAGAGTAAGAAGGTGAAATGTCAGCAGAATCTGCTTTGAATATACAAATTTATGGAGATACATTTCAGAATTAAAAATACAGTTAGAGAGCGGATGATTTTTTCCAGAGAGGGGAAAAATGTTTTTCCAAGAAAGAAGCTGAAGGAGAAAGGGAATTTTTAAATAAGATAAAGTTAGGTTAGGTTATTTTGAATGGCAAAGCCTGTCAGGCTATCTGTCGAAGAGGAGGACTTTCTGAGGGAACTGAATCATATTCGCATTACACGTGGGGAAAATCACGAACCACGGAGCCAGCCTGCTCGCCCAATACTCAAAATACCGGTATTCAGCTGTCTTAACTACTTGGCCAGTGGTGGGGCTCTAAAATAAGATAAATTATTATTATTTATCTTATTTAAATCCATCTCTGTTGTAAGGTATATTTTAATTTTATAACAGTTATTTTAATTTTGAAACAACTTTCAATTCTTGTTTCCACTTACAACTCCCTATCGGAATGAGTTTTTAGAATCGCGTTGGATGCAAATGAGTTAGAAGAAGTATTTAAGGAAGTTTCAACTAATTTCGAGCCAGTGTGCTAGGAGTCCTTAGTGACGCGTGTTTGCCTTCTGGCTAAGTCAGCCCGAGTAGAGTCTTTCCTGTAAGTCCGAGGAAGGGCCTTCTGTTATTTTTATTTGAGTGAATAAAAGGGTATTTTAACCCTTCTCGAGTCTACGTCTTAGTTGTTTTGAACTCAACGATAAGTCACTACATAGTTCAATAGGTTTCTCGCCTTTTTAGCATAGACAAAAGGCGAGGAACATTACACTGTATAATTATTATTATCATTACTACTGTTACAACTAGCCATCTCTGTATTATTATTATTATTATCATTACTATTACTACTATTAACAATAACAATATTACTTAAAGTTTTGAACTACAGATTTATAGCAATAATAGAATTTATTTACGTATTTATCTACATACCTTCTATTAAAATTTATGAATCAGATTTTTTTTATAAGAAAATCATTTATTTTTTTAATTTACCCTATCCTACTGTATGATTATGTCATACATCATTGATAGGTTCAATGGAAATTGCTAAAACTTACCTTGCTTCTTTTTAACTTAATAGCATGCAAATTTTTTGTTTGCTTTGATAAAATACCAGGCTCCAAAAATTATATTCATATAGATTCAATTAATTATTTCAAAAAAAAGTTTTTGAGAGAACATAGTTCTTTCTAGTTACCTTCTTGCAGGAAATGCTGATGAAAAAAGGTAATTGCAGATGCTTTGTAAGAAACGTAATGGGAATGAAGATGAAATATAAAATTTTAACTATATAAGTGTTTTAGTTTAAACTTTAATTCACTTAATATAAAACTCAATTACAATCACTTTCATCAAATTAATAGTTTTCAACTTCGCGAATATTAAAGTGATAAGCACTGGAATATTAACATATTTTTGAATAAAATGCATATTTGAAATATTTAATAATATATACATATTCCTCATAAAATTATAAACATATTTCTCACCAACTTAAATTTAGTTTGAAAATTTTGCAGTTATTTATACTGTTTATGACAACACTCAGTTTACGCTGTTTAACTGGCTTAGAAAGCAAAATTGATTTGCAGTTGCTTTCATCAAGATAATAGTTATCAGCTTCGTGAATATGAATACAGGGACATGACAGTCGCGAATAAATCACTTAAAGGTTGTGTAGCGAGGCACTTCCTTTCCAATAATTATCTGTGATAAACACATGAAAAAATTTAGGGATTTTTTTTATCATAATATGAGATTTAAGCATACAGTGATAGGTAAACAGAAATATGGATTAACATTAATTTCTGTATACTTACTTGGAGGGAAAGACGATGTAAGATTGGACGGATAAGCCATGCTTGGTATAGATGGTGTGCTTACGTTTCCAACTTGATTCCCCATAGAGTTATTTGTCGGCCGTGCATTCTGCTGCGTAAAGTAAATTTAGAATCTTAATTTTTACGATGAATTAACATGCAATTATTTTCACGAAAAAGAGCAATTTTATAAATAGAAAATAACTGCATAAAAATAGGATACAACAAAAGGTAAAGTAATTTTTACTTCTAAGCTTCTTCGGTACAAGAACAGGATTGCAAACAAACATTCCAAATAAAACTGTGGGCAAGTTATAAATTTTTCTAAATAACCACAAAGCTTAAACATTTAAAAACATGGCCAGGGATGGCGCCTGAACCGGTGCAGCCGCACAGAGCGGCAGAACGTATTTTAAAATTTATGTTGGCGTTGGAATTTATGAGTAAAAATATTACACCAGGTGGCAAAATAGCCTAGCACCGACCTGAACATACTTCAAAATGTAATTGCTAGTTTCATAAAACTTTATAAATATGAAACCGGACATAACAATTTGCCGTTCAAAATTTTAAAAACTTCTCGAGATACAGAATATACAGAAGTTATCTCTCACTTGCTTTTATAAAAGTATATATATATAAATACCGTTAAAAACACGTTAACACTTTCATAGACGATATCTGTCGCCTTTTTTAGAAGGCTGATCGAATGATGGTAGCAATATATTGAATGTTTTCCTATCAACAGATGTTATTACTTCTATAACTATTAAAGTGAATAAGCGGAGTAAGGTAGTGAATCAAACTCTGCTGAAATACAGTGTAAATAGAGACTTAAGTTTGCAATACAATTGAGTCGCAATTGAAACTTGCACATCTTTCTAAAGAGTTTGAGATACATGGTAACGTTTACCCTGCGTGATGCGCTCATGTGATCATGTGAAGATCCAGTTGACCTTGAAGAGCATCAGCTGTCAAGACGGAAAAGTTTACGTGCAATCTACAGAAATCTGCAATGCAATGTGAACGTGAGATGAGGTACAGGTGCAGCTTAGCTGGATGAGAATTTCCAAGAACACTGGATAGAAAGATGCTAAGTTCCCACCGCATTCACCTAATTAACACCATTACACTTATTTGTGGGGGGGGAGAGTAAGGAATGCAGTGTATTGCACAAAACGAGCTACACTGGCGGACCTTCCTGAAAATTTAATACGACTTGTGCAGCAATCTTGACGAGCATTTTGGCCCTTGTTTCTTGTTCACACGTTAACGGCTACTACACTGAACGCCCTTTCTAATTTAAAGGTAAATTTTATTCGTCTTGTAAGATATGAATAAATTTAGTATTAATATATATATATTCCTTTTCCAAAATACGTGTAATTTTTTGGCGGACTCTGCATAGAATGTGTTTCAGAAAGATTGTTTGAACAAATATATCTGTCGTTTGGTCATAAAAGATGCCGCCGATGCGACTGCACCAGTTGGGTCAGAGAGAGTGCATCTGATGCGGCCGCACCGCGCTGCTAAATTTAGAGCGGCACAATTTAGGAACCGCAGAGATTGCTTTGGGCGGTAATTAGCTTACGCCGTGCAGAACCATAGTTCCAGGGGAAGAAAGAAATCAAATACGAGTAGGCCTCTCAGAATACGAATAAGAATTTCCCACGGGGCACACTTTGTAAAAGTATACTAAATTAAAAATTTTGTTTAATCCTTAAACGAAAAAATAGCCAATTGGTAAATTGTTCTGTGGCCTACTGAACGGCGCGGGGAAAATATCCCTCTGTAACATGCAAAATCGGCCTCGAAAAAAATTATCAAACTAAGCCATTTTAAGCTAATTTAAGCCACATTTACTCGGTGAAAGAGAGATCTCTATAGAGATCATGTAAAACTGAATTTAGTCTAATAAAGCATGTTCCATTTTAGAAGATCTGTGAACGATAGTTTTAAATTAACGATTTTAAACTTTTTAAAAATAAATAGAAATTTGAGAACTAAATATGTCCCGCTGTTTTTAGCAATATTTGCATACTGTCTTCAATCTGAATTGATAATGAATGATAACTCAGGTAATTTTTATCGCTTGAGATTTTTTTCCTCTGATTTAATTAACTCAATTTTCTTATTCGATTATGCGAAACAATTTCCTGATTTATATTTGTTCCTATTGAGCTCGTATAAAAATTTGTATTCTGTTTAATTTTCATAAATATGATTAGCATTCTATCTGTCTGAATATCTGCCTTGTTAAACACATTTCTTAAAATGAAATTATAAAACCGTGGTGTACGACCATCATTGGAGAAATAATTAATCATACAATCTTCCTGAAACAACTTAACTATACATGTATACGCATATATATGTTTGTGTGTATGTATACATAAACTGTGTCCACAAGAGTACTTACCAGGCCTTTATTTATGCAATCGCTGGGCCTAGATATATACTTCCAATTACAAAAATATTTTAAATCAGGCGAAGATTCATGTTTTCCCATGTTTAAACGTAAATAAATCAATTTTGTAAAAATTACGAACTCCACTTTTTTACACATTTCTAGAACCCTTATACTTAAAAAAATGTTATACTTAATATAAAAAAATAAAGCACGAAAACTTTAACGACCATACGACAAAAATTAACAGAGATATTTTATATTAATAGGGAATCTTATTCAGGGTCCGTACGTAATCTGAAGAGCAAAATGTGTGCATTTGCACACAACTAAAAATAAAATATCGTTTAGAAAAAGATTTATGATATTAAGATATTACGTGGCGAGCATTTCTATTGTATGTACAAAAAATGTATCAAAGAAATTACTGGCAAGCACCAAAATCACTGGTATTGGAACGTAGTCAATTAGTATTATTATTTGCCTTAATTAAAAATGAAAATATATTTGCAGTTTAATGAAATTTTTACGATTACTAGATTATGATTCTAAAGTCACAAAACTTTATCAGAATATTAATAACGTATTTAAAGCCTTCGAAAACTATAAATTACTAGTATGAAAAATTCTTTGACATACCAAATGTAACAGAATCATAAATAAAAACACAAAAGAATATCCTTGAATGGCATTTAAAGGCGAAAAAAAAATATTCTAATTCATTTATTAACTGATCCCTCAATGTAAAGTCCAAATGATATCAAATATCGCAAATTTTGAAATTAAATATCTCTGTCAATTTTTGACCGACAGGAGTCAAGAGGAGCGTAAAATAAGTTAGATTTTTGTATTTTATATAATTTTTTAAAAATGAAAAAATACAAGGACATGAATCTTTGCGTCAATTAAAACGTTTCTGCAAATGGAAGTAAAACCAATGGTTACGAAGATAAAGGCCGGATAAGGGATTTGAGGACACGGTATATATAATTATTTTAGAAGTCAAACAATAAAAATAAGCGTTATATTTGCAAATTTTCCAGGACTAGTTTCGACGGTTTAACTACCGAACCATCTTCCACAGCTGCCAAAGTGCAAATATATATTACATACGTACGGTATATATACTACATATGGACATATACACATAATGTAAAATAAGGTAAATGCAAAAACTGCATTTCTAGTACGGGGTCAGTCAAGAATATGTGAGCAAGAAAATATACAACAAAATGTCTCAAAGAAATTAAAATCACCGAAATTCTAAAATGTATCACGAAAAATGGAAAAACCTAACCGAAAACTAACCAGTTTCCTACTCTTTTTTTAACCTTATACGGTGTTTTGAACTGATGACCGTACGTTTTGCTTTTTTTTTTATTTTTGCGTATATGTCCTTGCTAATCCTACAAGATCATGTTTATTTTTGCGTCCGTTTTTTAATTCTCCCAATTTATCTTTTCCCAACTCTTAGCGACTGAAAGAATGTTCGTTTTCATATTTTGACTTTCGTTATGAATTAATTTATCCTAGGCAAAAAACAACTCTTCTGTTTAACTTTATTTACCAGAAAATTATTGCATAAAAACTTCTAGAAGAACAATTTAAGCAAATCAACAATACAATGGCTTCTTACTTTTCATTATAATAGAAGATAGATTAGATTAAATATAGAAATTGTTAGTGGTTTCAACAACTTGGCGAGGGTCGGAGAAGATTTTTTAAAAGCAGATAAAACAAATTTAAAAAAAGAATTTTAAAAAAAGTAATTACAGCTCCATATAGATTTAAAGTATCTTCTCTCTTTACCACTTTTATGTTAAAATACAGCAATCTAATTTTTCAAGCTAAAAATTACTTATTTTTCATATTCAGATTTCTTTTCTCGTTTCATATCTTCTTTTGATCCAATGACGCTGCTTAAAATACATAATTTTTATTAAATTAGATCCTTATTTTAAAACCATTAGATTAAATTGAAAATCATTGCATTAAATTTTTTTGTGATTCACATCGTTCAAGATGAACTGACTTTTAAGTTATCCTAATGTAATGCGCTGACGTTCTGAAATGCGTGACAAGCCTTAAGAAAGTTAAAACAGGAAGAAAAATATTTTAAATTGCTCTTTTCAAAACAACCATTGATCGCCACAGTACACAAGACTGTTGATGCAATTTCTTAAGCTGCGTAGCTATTATTAGAAATTCAGATATTTCATTAGAAAATCAGCAGTTTTTCTATGGGATTAAACATTCTTCGATAGTTATTAAATAGTGAAATAACTTTTAAATCATTCCGGCGGACACAAGATTACCATACTGGAAGTAATAAATCCAAGGTGTGGTGTATTTAATTATGGCAAAGCACACTAGGGCCATCTGCCTAAGAGGAGGGATGCCTTTCGTGGAGGACTTTCTAAGGGAAACTGACTCGTATAACACGTTACACATGGGGAAAACCAGAACCCCATGCAGCCAGCCCGTTCGCGGGATTCGAACCTCTACCGAAATATCAGTGTTTAGCGACTTTACCGCTCGGCCGCTGGTGGGCCCAATAAATCCAAGGAAATCTATATATCCCAATAGTCGACGTATTTCATTGCTGAATTAGATCTAAAGATTTTTATCTTGAAGGAGGTTCTCATAACACTCAGTCAAAAAAAAAAAAAAAAAAAAAAAAAAACATTAAAGCAGAGCCCTCT